TTTTCTTAGCCTTAGATTTAAGTAATAAAACATTTTCCAGACATGTAAAAAGTTTTTGTTAAATCTAATAAAGATAAGAGCAAGGTCTCACCTTTAACATAAAAAAAAAAAAGTAATTATATATGCAGTACGTGGTTATAATGTTGTTATGCTAAAAATAGAAAATAGGTATATATATTAATATGCCATTAAAGTAATTCAAGACTTTTACAATATTCAAGTTCTGGTATAATTACGGTATATGCCATAAATAGATAAAATTGATCGATCATATAAACATTTTCTATTTTTATATTAGTGAGATACAAATTGATCAATTAGAAATTATCGAATTTCAGGTTTATTGTAAGAATTTTAGTGTATAACTATTAAAAAGATGATATAGTTCAGATAGTCTAGTAAGTTCAATTTAATTTTTAATTGGTCTGTAATAAAGCAACATAGAACTATAAAAATAAAAAATAATCTTAATGTTGTTACTTTTTCAGATGTATAAATTTTTAAATCAGAGTTTGAACATACAATATGTTAATGTTAATATTGAACCATAAGTCAGGACATTAAATTTCGATAGTTTTACGTAATTTCACGTAATATCGTGTAAGATCAAGTAAATTGAAATTTCACTTAATTGTAATTTTAAATACGAGAATAATTTCTCAGCAATTTAGAAGGTGCAATTTGGATAATACATTCAAATCAAACAGTGTAATAATGTAGATAGAACTTTTTTAAATTCAGTATTTTATATATAATTTTATATATAATTTGATAAAAATCATATAAAACTTAATTATCTAAAACCTCCAACTGTAATTACATAACATGACTTTATCGTAAATAACATGATAAACTCTGGATTTTGGTAATTGATTTATTTATTATTAAACAATGAAAAAAAATAGATTTCATTTTACATAATAAAGAAAAACACAATAATATAAATAATTATCATTCTATTTTTTTGCAGGTAAAAGCAGCCTTAAACACTTTCTATTATAATTAAATTTTTTATTTTGAGGAACAGGAGTATTAGTATGTGCGAGTTTGGTAGAATCATTATCATCAGTAAATGTTGTATTTTCATTTACATGAGGCACAAGGTGAATAGGAGTTTCAGTGTTAGGTTCTGTACTAATAGCCTGCGAAGTAGATTGTAAAGGAGGAGATTTGGTGGAAGAAGTTTCTTTTTGAATCTGCGAAGTGACTTCGGCAAAACCTAGGGATGTAGTTTTATCGCTTGAAGGTTTGTTAAGAGAAGAATTTTGCATATTAATTCTTTGTCTTTTTTGAGGCAAGTGAGATAATGTAGCATATTTTTCTTTAATATTATCAAGTTCTGTATCGAAATCTTCTTGTAAAGACACTTTCCTGATAGTTGAAGCATGCGAAGGTTAAGAGTCATTAATCACATAAGTCCATTCAATATTGGAAGCAAGAATATGAGGAAGTCTTTTTGATCCAAGTTTCAAATGACCTACAACAGATAAGACTATTTTTTTTAGATTATTTTTTAGAGCATTATAATAATTGTTTTCGTTTATATATAATATGATAACTTTGGATTCAACATGTTTATTTTAGTAATTCCATTATACAAATGCCTCACCAACATAAAACTTTTCTGACCCCCTTTATTATCAGGAATATAAGAATTTGGTATTACAAAAGCTGAGTAAATTAATAAGGGAGATGAATTCAGGAGATCTTCCGGGGTAAGAGTGTATTTATCATCAGAATAAGAAACAGGAACTGATTGAATTAACATAGTCTAGAAGAAACAACAAAACGTGAGCTAAATTTACAATAGTTTGGGTGTTAATAATAATATTAATCAATATATACATATTCTACATTCTCTTTATATGCATAATGACTAGTTATCAAAACGATAGAGTTTTTTCGAACGGCGTGATCAATGAATCAGGATTGTTGATAAAACCCTTGAATGTAATTTCTCTAAATTTGTCATCATTATTGTTAATTCAGTATAACGCAATTCTAGTGATGCATTTATCATTTCTGGTAACACTTTTAATAAAACAAAAAGCTATGAATAAGGATGACATAATGATGACTCAAAAATTGACATTAATCGGCATATTACAAAGAACAGATTTATGTATAAAGAAAAACAATGAGGTAATTTGCTAGTGGTATGGTGTGATAGTTTAGTATATAGTCAAAATATTATTAATTTTGAACCTTTATTTTTAGTTACAGAAATTTACAGAAATTTAACCAAAAGGTTTTTTGTTTTTCTACAATAACAAAATTCACAACATTTTTATAACTTTCGTTTAGTGAGGGGCTCAAGAGGCTTTAGTTGGACTTTTACTTTTTTATGGTCAAAATTTTCATAATCTCAAATGGATTTCTTCAAAAAGTCTTTCGAGAATTAACTATTATCTTTATTATCGTTATAACTCACTCATGATCTTCCTAATTTTTTTATTCGATTTTGAACTGAGCCCGATATATAGCTTCTTCTTTTCAATACATTACCCATGTATTATATTTAGTTATACCCTTCTAGCACATCACCTTCGCATCATATTGACTTATTCTTTTCAAAAATATCATAGTGTATTATTATGACTAATCCTTATTACATATTAGTCATCTATCCTCGCTTCATGAGTCACATCGTATAATTCATAGCCTCATTTAATGTGATACAAATTTTTATTCTATTTCGGATGTATCATTTTTAGCCTGTAACATCAATAATTGTGAAATAAGAAATCAGGTTTGATAGACACAATATGTAATGTATTGTGATATCATGCAGCTAGGAAAATTAATCGCACGAACGCTTCATTTCTTATAAAACAAAACTTTAGATAATCAATTCATCAGAGTGGCAAAAAATCTGAATGGAAAAAAATATAAAACAAAAAATAATGAATTTGTTTATAATAAACCTACAAAAAATTATAAAATTTTCTGATATATCATTAAAAAATTCATACCTTTTCTTACAAATACGTTTGTAAAATTTTTCAATACCTTGGACCAATTATTATCTAGGTCTATTCTGCTTTACTCTATCACAAGATCAAGATC